ACTGAATGTTCCTGGTGGGCAACAGAATGACGTCTTCCATGGGTGGTCAGTGCAGCTGGGACTGGGGGAAGGCAGGCCCCTAGCCCCACCTACAGCCCCACCCTCTCTGCTGAGGCCCCACCCGCCACGAGCAGGGGAGGAGGCGAGGCAGCACACCAAGTGCGCAAGTTCCTCCCCTGCAGGGTGGGGAAGAGAGAGGAGGGGTGAGCACACACCACAGGAGCACCAGGGAGTGAGGAGGCCACACAGCCCGAGTTTCCCTGGCCTCCAGAATACTGAGGAGGGAGGAGGCTGCATGGCTCCAGCCCCACCCCCCAAAGCATCTTGGATGGAAGAAGCCCAAACTTCCAGGCATGGCCCATCCACACTCCACCCTCAGGGTGGCGTGTTGCTGCCCCCAATGCACGCTCTCCTTGGTGCTCTGGGGGCTGTGGCCACGCAGAGAAGCTTGGGCCACACAGCCTCCTCCCCTCCCTGTTGCTCCAAGGCTGAGGAAGCTCCAGCCTCTCTGGCCCCCGGAGCACCAGGGAGTGCAGGCACTGGGAGCAGCAACACTCCACCCTCAGGGCAGAGTGTGGGTGGGCCATGCCTAGAAGTTTGGGAAGGCAAAGCCTTCCCCCACTTAGGCTACGGGACGCCCATGACGTCATCAGTGTCATTGGTGTTAACAGGCTCTCTCAGCGAAGCAAAAGCAGACGGGGGTGGGGTTGGCATGCGTAGTGGCCTGATACAGGGCAGTTGCTGTGTGTAGTGGCCAGAAAGAGGGGTTGTTGGCGAGCATAACGGCCAGAGAGAGGGGGGTTGGAGAGCATAAAGGCCGGGGAAGGAGAGGGGTTAGTGAGCATAGCAAGCAGGGGGAACAGCCCCCTAGTATAATATACAGTCAAATTTTCTTTTCAACATTTGTAGCTCATTTACTTTTTAATCTCTCATATCTTGGAAAATGAATATAGAACAGTTGCTTCCTCCTCTATTTCTAGTTAGCTAGATGGTGACTATTCTGCAGGGAAACGTTTACTTCAATATTTATTTCCATGGGATTTTTTTCAATTGTGGAAATTTGTCTTATGTTTTGTAAAATCTTGTTTATAAAACCCTCAATTTTGATCCAAAGCTGATGATACTCCTTCAGAACTATATTATGTTATAAACAACATAACATATATTACTAATCAAAACAGAAATAGAACAAATAATTCCATTGAGCTAACTCAACTACTAATTTCTGCTCTATGTTTTTAAAATGTTAAATCATCTCACTAACAACTTGCATCTGATCAGGTTATTGTCTTAACTAAATGTCTCTGTACAGTTAGCGTAGGCTCGGATGTGCTTGTGTCTTTACGGAATGTGTCACAAACACAACATGATCTCTTAGGGTATGTCTACACTTGCACCCTCGTTCGAACGAGGGATGCAAATGTAGGCATTCTAAATAGTCAATGAAGTGGCGATGTAAATATCCTGCACTTCATTAGCATGATCTCACCGTTGTGTTACTCCGATCAACAGCTGTTTCGAAAGTGAAAGTGCACGCCGGGACGCGTTAGTTCGAACCAAAAAATGAGGAGAAACGTTAGTTCGTACCAAGGGGTTTGGTTCGAACTAACGTGTCCCGGCGCGCACTTTCACTTTCGAAACAGCTGTTGATCAGAATAACATGCTGGCGAGGTCATGCTAATGAAGCGCGGGATATTTAAATCCCCGCTTCATTGACTGTTTCGAATGCCTGCATTTGCATCCCTAGTTCAACTTAGGGTGCAAGTGTAGACATACCCTGAGTGAATTATGACTAAAAGCCAAAGTAAGTAAAGGGCCTTAGGGCCCTAATTACATACATCTCCAGGCCTGAATTAGAGTAATATTCCCCAGATGAGTGAAATTAGATTTAATACAAATTAACATTCTGGTATCATTATCCTTATGTAGAACAAATAGAGTTGGCATTAAGAGGCACGATCTGCATGATTAGATGGCTCATGATGCCAAGAGCAGAAGTATACATTCCAGAAACACCCAGACCATGTTCCTTTACTCCTAAAAATGTAACTTGAAATGCCTTGCAAGGCTGCAGCCAAGGAAGACCTGCAAAGCAGCATCTCTTTGAGACTGAGGAAGAGCAAGAATTTTTGTCCCATCATTGTCTTACAAGGCTCAGGTTTTGAGTCGTGCAAATGGACATAAGGCTCGTCTACATCTACGGCACTGCATCTCCAGATAATAAAGCTGCCTCCCCAAGCAGCAGCAGCAGCAGCAGCAGCAGAAGCTGTGTTGGTGGGAGAAGCTCTCTGGGTCCATTTACATCCCCGAGCAACATAAGTGCTGCAGACTTAAGTTATGGTGTAGACATAGCCTTTGTCTGAAGCAAATTTTATCTCCAGAACTGCAGATAAAATAAAGTATATGGTACAAGTCTAAAAAAATCTTGTGTGTTGTTAATAATATACATAATACATATCCTAACTGAAGCTCTGATAGTGCAAACTCTTATGCATGTGTTTAATTTTGCATAAACCATCAAAGTCAATGCAGGATCAAATCTTAACATATTAAAATCCCCAGATTGTTTTACTATGTCGTTATATCAGGTCAGTGACCTGATCTTCAGAGTTGCAGAGTCTTGACTCCAAAGGAAGTAGAGGGTGAATTGGATAGTTGAAAGACAGGGTAGCACAATGAACCATGTCAAAACCACAAACAAAACCTTTCCCATTTCACACATAATTTACTCCAGTCTGAGTGAGTCTTTGAAACTCTAACACTGCAGTGTGTAATCTGCCCATTTCTAGAGAACAAGAAGGAAGAAATTTAATATGAGACTGGCAAATACATTAACACCCACAGCAGAAAAATTCTGTTAATTTAATCAAATAATCATTCCCTTGAATTAATACTCCTCTTTTTTGAAATATAGCAATTGAAACCTGACAATTCAAAAGAAACAAATCAAGACCTAATTTTTAAACAGGTATGGAAGAATTAGATTTTTTTATCAGTAAATCTCAATAAACATCAATGTCACTGTACACACACAAAGCTATTTCCACCAATAAAAATCTAAATTTACAAATGCAAAGAAAGAAAAATGCTACTTCAGAAATTACTTATGTTTGATTTACTTTTTATATTTTGACATGTGATATCAAAAATGTTGTTTTAACTTTTATAACACTTAACCTTGTTGGATCTCAGTGTCCACTGCAATTAAATAATTGTCTGGTTCTGCCCAATATTTCCTGCAACTGTGAAATTTAAATAAATAAAAATTCTTAAAACCCATAATTTCATGCAACTATCAAAATTTATACCAAAAAGCTTTAAAATAAATGTTGATAATTCAGAATTCTTTTAAATATTTATGTTTAAATACGGAGACCTTTCTAAGGGCACTTCTGTTGTTTGATATAGCAGGTCTGATACGGACCAGCTAAATTGAACACTGAGGGCACCTTCATTGACTGTGCAACTGCAAGGAGTTGCAAGGAGTAAAGGAAGTTGACGGGAGAGTTTCTCTCATCACAGTCCTGCAGGGGAACTGCCCCAGAAAATCTTCGAAGTAGGAATAAGAGATCCTCCGGAATAGGGCTTTATTCCGGAGGATCGGGCCAGTCTAGACGCTTTTTTCCGGCTTTTCCCAAAGCCGGAATAAAAGCGGCGGCCATGTTTATTTAAATCCCGCGGGGGATATTTAAATCCCCCGTGGATTTCCCTATTCCCACTTTCAAAATTAGCATGCCCCTTCCGAAGAAGGGGCCAGTGTAGACGTAGCCTTACTGTATTGAAAGTGAGCTACAGTGATTTTGTTGGGCAACCGACTGCTCCAACGGATTCCTGAACCCAATTCTGTGCAGAAAGCAAAGGTGCTCTCACTCTCTGAACATGGTAAGGGGGTTAAGTGCTGTTCAAGGAAAATGCTCCTGGATACTTAAGATTACAACTCACGGCTAATAGTAGGAAAGAGAGAGTGAAAAGACATCTTGAAAATTAAAATAGGCTCTGAAATATCATAACCTACGAATGCAACATACTACTACGAATGCTATCCTACACCATGAAACAGAGAGGATTGGTATGAATAGTGATCAAACAAGCCAAATACTCTTTAGCATATCTGAAACAGATCTCTCAGCTGCTGTAATTAGAAAATCTGCCTGCTAATAATGGCTACTTGTGTTTGTGACTATAGAATAGAGAGCTGTCTTGTTCTAGATTCTTATTAAACTGATATCAGGTTTCATAAATAATTGGTCATGCTATCCCCCAAACCCAATGAAATTCTCTTGGAATTATTTAGAGCAACAAAGCAGGGGGGAAATGGAAAGATAAAATAGGATAAAGCAATGTTGTTCCATTATCTAAGTGCAGAAGCTCCCTCTAGTGATGAGAATGTCTGTTGGCAAATATTGACTTTTACAGGCAATCGCTTTAAGCTTACATATATATTCAGATCTAAATATAGATAGCTACCCTCCCTCAGAGACCCCGCTGTTGAGCTATCCGGAGTTTAAATCCAGAGTGAACTGACTGATAAACACATTGGACTTGAGGCTCAAAGTTTAAAATGGCCTCCTGCTTCAGCTTGCTTGTAAATGCCATTGAAGAGCAGTATCACCCCATATGGCTAACCAGCCACATGTACTGTACCCTGAAGAGCAATCTGGGATGCAAGTCACTGAGCAAATCCTGAGAAGGAATCCAGCAAAGTAGCGGGGGAGGGGAATGGAAAATGGCTCATTTCTTCAGTTCATTGGCATTTATAAGGAAAATGAGGCTGAAGGACAGTTTGAATGTTCAACTACCAGCTGGAAGTGTTCATCTGTCACAGCATACCCAGGGACTTTTAGCAGCTGGTCAGCTCCTTGCTCTGAGAGCAGCAAGTAATTAAATGTCACTCTTCCTCAACAAATTTTTCATTGTTCAGGCCTGCAGGGGTTTTCAACAGGCGCTTTCTTAGTCAGGCCTGAAATTAAAAGACTTTCAAAGTGTGAAACTCACATTGATCCTTGGAAAGACTTAATTTTAAACAAACAGAAATTCCGTCCTAATGAGAGTTCATAGCCTCGTCCCCAGCAACTGGTTTCCTCTCCCTCTGGAATAAATATTCATGAGCCGGCTTGGTTTCCAATGGAGACAGTAAACACACGGCGGAAAACCAGCAGCTATCAAGGAGTTCTATTTCAGTGGCACACGCAGATCAAAACTAACCCGGGCCAACACGACAACACTGCTACTAACACAGCAGCCATTCTGGGGACTTTGAGACCAACGTGGAGTGGTTGCAACTGCACACACCAGTAGCTGGTGTCTCAGAAGCTGAGAATTCGGAACTGCTGGCTACAGCTGGTATCTCTAGCCTTTGAGAACGACTGTTCTTTTTATGATTATTATTACAATGATGCTTCCTCTTAGCAGCCCCCCAAAGAAGCAACATAAACCAGCTGCTTAGTTGAAGTAGGTTATTAAATAAAGGAGAGACAAGATCGCACATAGGGTCACCTGTTGGAAGTTGGGTTCTTAGTACCGGCTCCTTGTCAAATACTAAAAGAAAGTGCTAGGAGAGAAAGGAAAGCAGGAGAGAGCTGTGGGACTGGAAAGTCTTGGAGAGCATTGCCTCTCAGCCTTCCGAGTGGTGACAGCATATCACATAACAGGAGAGACGCAGATGGGAAGCAGATCAACTGGATTTAGGAGAACCACCTCAGCTGGGTACCGGTTACCAGCAGCCAGACCTTTGGTGGAACTTGCCTCATCCTCGTCTCCTCTCAGCACCGCCCAGCCTGGAAAAGCGCTGCCTGCCAGTCGGGTTTTAGCAAAACAGGCACCTCGGGCCCAGGAACAGGAGCAGGCACCACTGTGGAGGGATCAGGTTCGGCAGGACAAGATCTGGAGGGAGTTTATGGAGGCTGAGCGGAGGGGAAGAAAATATTGGTAAGTACCTCAAGTTAAACTTCACGTGCTACTGCTGAGAGAGGTAGGGTGCCCTGTAGCTGAAAGGCGTAGTTTCTCACTTGAGTAGATATACCTGTAGTAGCTGTGGTCAAACTAGCATGATAAAGACAGAAATGTAGCCATGGTGCTGTGAGTGGCTATGCGAGTATGTGCCTAGGATCTTGGATGGAATGTCACTCAGGTAAAGATGGCGCAGCCTGACATTTTCACTGCTGTGGCTAGAGTCTATATTCAGTGTGCTTGCTCTGACTGAGCTACTGTGGGTATGTCAGCTGAATCTTGAACCTGCATTGCAGATGTACTCCAAGGGCCTGATCCAAAACCCATTAAGTCAACAGAAAGACTTTGGATCAGGCCCTACCCCTGTAACTCCTGAGATCAAACACCCTCTGTGTCCTCCTCTTTTCTGAAATACTTCATTGAAGTGTACTTCCTGGCAAGTCAGGCTAGAGCTGGAACAGAAATTCTAAGGAACACCAGGTATAATATATTGTATATGGAAGACCAGACAGTGAGGAGACAAATATAACTCATCAGTAATTGGTTGCACAGATGCTGATATTATTGCCTATTCTCAAATTCTTGGAAATGGCTGGAGTGGAGATTGGACAGAGTGTTCTGCCAAAAAAATTATTTGAACTTCAACCCTGAACATTTCCTGAGTGCCCCTAGGCCCTCACATAAACATGCATACACAGAGAAAATCCCATTGTTACTAATAGATCAGTAGGGTGTTCAGCATGTTTAGGGCATAATTTATGCTTTGAGTGGATATATACACACAGCTGAGCTTATGAGACCAGGCATTCAGATCTCTCTCTCTCTTTTACACACATACACACACACTACACTATTTGTGATCATGCTCCAGTTTACAACATAAACATGCCTGGTAAAATAATATCTTTGGGAAAAACAAGGTTAACTTAAATTCAGATTATATGCCAGCTTCATCCAGCCAAATACCAAGGAAGCAAAACAATAAGAAGGTGATCAGCTAGCATGAACTTCCTTGGATTCAGCTGGTAGATGGGAAGAGAAGATCTTTTGGTGGTTTCCCTTCTCCCACCAGTCTCCTGAAAATGGTACCAACCCTGACAAAGACTGAGTCTATCCTCAGGGACATATTTTTTACTTCTGCGTTGGGCTGTTTCAGCTCAGCCTCCAGGTGAGAGGAACAAAACTCACCAGCAGCTCCAAACCCCCCACAGTTTGGGATGGGAGAAGTCTGTTCTATTATGGTAGCCTAGAAATGAAAAGAGGGTGTAAGGGAATGGGGCAAATAGGCCGATATTCATATGCTGAGGTCCAGGTGTTCCTTGATGACTAGTACTTCAGAATACCAATAGTCTATCGAGAGCTGATATGTTTGTACAGAGCCAAGCACCATCAGACCCTGATCTTAGGTGTGGCCTCTAGGCACTACTGAGATACATGTACAATACCAATTAATTATTATATGCTAAACTGCATTGCAAGACATTCACACCACTGCAGCAGTGTCCATATGATGAGTTACTGCACAGCAAGCTAGTGAGTTATAGATTTACACCTAGAGTTCCCAGGCACCTGGTTTTCAACCAGAACATCCCATCAAAAAGGGACCCTGGTGGTTCCAGTTAGCACTGCTGACCAAGCCATTAAAAGTCCTGTCTGCAGCACAGTGGAGCACCCGGGCAGGCTCCTACTTGCCCTAGCTCTACATGGCTCTCAGAAGTGGCTGCCAGGTTCCTGCAGCCCCTAAACACAGGGAAGCTCTGCACACTGCCCCCGTTGCATGTGTCAGCTCCACAGCTCCCATTGGCTGGAATCATGGTCAACAAGAACTGTGGCCCCTGGTGGTGCCTGCAGGCGCGAGAGCAGCAAACCAAGCCTCCCTGGCAGCCGCTTCCTAGGAGCTGCAGTAAGAGTTGCTGGGACCCTGCATCCTGCATGTACCCCCCAACTGCCTGCCCCATAGAATCATAGAGCTGGAAAAGACCTCAGAAAGTCATCAAGTCCAGCCCCCTGCTCTAGGCAGGACCAATCCCAACTAAATCAACCCAGCCAGGGCTTTGTCAAGCCGAGACTTAAACACCTCTAGGGATGGAGACTCCACTACTTCCCTAGGTAACCTATTCCAGTGCTACACCACCCTCCTAGTGAAATAGTTTTTCCTAATATCCAACTTGGACTTCTCTCACCACAACTCCCCATCAGCCTAGGGCCCCCTCCAAACCCCTCATTCCTAGACCCATCCCAGAGCCCACACTCCTGGCTAGATCCCTGACCACCCTCCAACACCCTCCCCCCAAGCCCTGCTCCAGCCCAAAACCCCTTCCTGCACCCCAAACCCATAATCTCTGTCCCCATTCCAGAGTCTGCTCCTCCAGCCAGAGTTCCCACCTCTCTCCGGGTATGTCTACACTACCCCGCTAGTTCGAACTAGCGGGGTAGTGTAGACATACCCTCAGAGAGGTGGGAACTCTGGCTGGAGGAGCAGACTCTGGGATGGGGGCAGAGATTTTT